TATTATCTTCCAAATAAGAGGAATCTCACAAATGGAAGACAGAACTGTCAAGTTCTCTTGGAATAGAAATATATGGATGATCCATCTCATGAATTTTATATCTCATGTGCTCATGATTTATTAGTGTAGCAAGGTGAACTTTATAGATAGTTAATATTTAAAGAATTGAAAGTTTCATATTGTGCTAAAGATATGGAGAAGGAGTATAGTGATCTAGTTGTTTCATTTTTCTTGGATTTGGGGGATCGTGTGGAGTGGCTAATTTAAGAGGTACTCTTGTTGTTTGGACGAATGATTGCTCATATTGTCTAACCCTGTAAAGTCTCCGATTGCAACATTGAGTATCTTCAACATCTAATCTTTTTAGTTGTTTCTGCCTAGAAGATTTACCCTGCGATGTTTGCTCATCTGCTCATCAAATTAAGTTTCGAGCACAGTTTACTGCTTTGTTTCGTATTTGGAAAGAAAGCATATGCACTAATCATCTCTTGAATTTTTGGTGTAATGTGAAGTATGTCTATGATGTATATGTAATTGTGAGTTCATAGACTCCCTGAAGATTCAAGGGAATCAGTATTGTTTTTGCAACACGTATATTGAGCACTTGGTGCAACTAATTAAGTATAAATAAATGAGCAACAATTTTGGCCTATTATAGAAAAAGAGAAGGGTTTAGTTTTGGTTTGATTTCAAAGTGAAGACAAGGCTTTGTTTTTCTTTGTTTTCTAAAACCGGAGCTGTTCTGGAACCAAACAACTTCAGTTTTGGTTTTTGAAAAACTTTCTGGAATCTTTTTGAACAACCGATCCATATTTTCGCTTGTTAATTTTGCTTTTCTGGTTACAACAGATACAGTCAGAGAAGATGTCAGCTTCATTGAAGGAGCAGCTTGGGTTAATCATGCCTCTTGTTGATGATTTAAAAGCAAAGAAAGATGAGAGAGTTAAGCAGTTCGCAGATATAAAGACTCAAATTGAGAAAATAACTAGTGAGATTTCAGGGTCTTGTAATATTGTCAATTCTCTTAGCACCTTAAACTTGGAAGAACATGACTTGTCGACGAGAAAGCTCTCTGAATGCCAATCCCATCTACGTGCTCTTCAAAAGGAGAAGGTATGTGTGGACAAAGTTGTATTTCAATTATATCTTGTTTCTTAGTTACTTTTCTCCTCTTTTCAATTTTTATGCTTTTCCTAATTTGTCAGTCCCCAAAGAATGACAGTTTTCTCTATTTAATGACAATTTAACTTTAAACTTCTCATTTTCCCTTAATGAGATGATTTATTTATGGCCACCCAAATATGACTTGTTTTAGACCACGAGTTCCAAAGGTCCTGCTTTCATTCTTTAAACTGGTGTCCCAGTTCAACACCATCACATAAATTGAGATGGAGGGGGTAATATTTTTAAATAATGCAATAACGATTTTCTTTACTGCTGAAGCATCTTTGAAACATTGTGAGAGACAGGTTTCTTTAAGTTACTTCTTTGCTAGTGTTCACTGGTTTCCCTGGTGGTTATGTATAGACGTTTGTGTATCATTATTCTTGTGATATATACAATTCTGTAAGTTGGCCTTGTCAACTTGGTCCATGGATGTAGCTTAGTTCCCATTTCTCTTCTATCGCATTAGTCCACTTCTATAGGATCCAGTTCATCTACAGCACTCTTAAAAGCTATACAGTATATAACTGAAAATCCTTTTTTGCGTTTATGTGGTTCAGCATGGCATTCTTAATCATCATGAATGGTGCATTTTTGGTTTATCATAAGACGCCTGTCTTTCTTTTAGAAAATTGAATAATGATGATTGCTTCTGCATGCAGTCTGTGCGTGTCCAAAGAGTTCTGGACAGTGTGAATGAGGTTCATACATTGTGCGGTGTACTTGGGCTGGATTTTGGTGAAACTGTAAGCAATGTGCATCCTAGTTTGCACGAGACAAGCATGGGACAGTACACAAACATCAGTGACAGTACATTGGAAGGTCTAGACCAGGCTATCCTTAAACTGAAAACAGAAAGAAAAGTTCGATATCAGAAGGTATTATTTTCCTAGATATGGATGGTACTGTCTTTTCTTTATTTGCTATCTAATCTCATCAATAATGCAGCTAAAGGACGTGGCGGGATCTCTGTTTGAGCTTTGGAAGTTGATGGATACAACGAGAGAAGAAAGGCGTAAGTTATCAAGGATCATTTCCTTTCTTGACATTTCTGAATCAAAAGTTGTTGAACCAGGTGCACTTACATTGGAGGTTATTCAACAGGTGTGCAAACACTTTTTACCTCTTAATTTTTCCCTATTTCTTGCTCTATTCTTTTTTCCCCTTTATATGATTTCCGCAGACAGTTTTGTGGGCTTATTTTTCCAAATTGTAATCATTAATAGTTCCTATATATATATATTTGCAGAAAGATTTGATGTTATTTTTGACATTGCTAGGTATCAGCAGAAGTTGGGAGGCTTACCAAGTTGAAAGCAAGCAGAATGAAAGAGTTGGTGATGAAAAGGAGGGCAGAACTGGAGGATTTGTGCTGTAGAACCCATATACAACCTGATTCAAGTACCGCTGCTGATAAATCCAGTGCAATGATTGACTCTGGTAAGACGTCTGACTTGGATTCGTTAAATGCTTTGTTCATCTGAAATTCAATGCAGAGAAATGAGCTCAATCTCCATTTGAAGGTCTTGTGGACCCTTGTGAGCTCCTGGCAAATATTGAAGCACAAATAAACAAAGTAAAGGATGAAGCTTTAAGCCGAAAAGAAATTATGGATAAGATAGAGCGGTGGCTTTCATCATGTGATGAGGAAAACTGGCTTGAAGATTATAACCTGGTAAGTAAAAACTACTTCCATTCGATTTCCTGTAGCTAATCTCCGTTTCGTACTAACTAATGCTTCTAGTAACTTTAGTTTCTATTGTTGACAAAAACTTTACATCAGCTATAGTTTGATTAGTTTTATATTGTCAGGATCATACACGTTACAGCGGTGGAAGAGGTGCTCATATAAATCTAAAGCGAGCAGAACGAGCAAGAATTACAGTGACTAAGATTCCAGGTATTCTACTCTAGCTTTTTCAGTGGTGTCATTTAAGCTTGAATCATTGACACAAAGTGTACTCAAGGATTTTATGCTCAGGTATGGTTGACAGTTTGGTTAGCCGGACACTAGCTTGGGAAAATGAGAATCAGAAGTTGTTTCTGTACGATGGGGTGAGTTCTTTTGCAGATAAGAAACTTCAGATTTTTTCCTTGTTTCTGCTGTTGGTCAAGTGGATTTGGCTGTACTTGTAGGTGAGATTGGTGTCAATATTGGAGGATTACAAAGTGAGTCGACATCAGAAAGAAGAGGATAAGAAACGTGCGCGGGTATTGTCATTACCCTTATTTACTAATAAATGCTGAATTGTTATATGAGACATGTATCTAACGGAATGCACGATATCTAAATATTAACTGGAATTCTTATGTTGTATAATAACAAAATACTACTTTTTGATCTGTCCTTGTACTAAATGGGCGCTTCAATTGAGTCTAATAGATGAGAGAATGATATTAAGTATAGAGCATCTTAGCCCATATGATTTACAAGTAATTATTTGAAAGTATATGTTTATCTTTTCTTTTACACAGGATCAGAAGAAACTCCAAGATATGCTGCTGGCAGAGAAGGAATCTATATATGGTTCTAGACCTAGTCCAAGAAGAAGCAGCAGCTTTAGGAAGACGAATGGATTCCATACAAATGGAAACGGGTCAGTCACCCCTTCACCACGCCGAAACTCAGTTGGTTGTGCAACTCCAGAGCTTCAAACACCCCGTTCTTACTCTGGGCGGCAGAATACCTATTTCAAGGAAATGAGAAGACTATCTACTGTCCCTCTCAACTTTGTGGCTATGGCAAAGGAAGAAACCATGTCATTTTCTTCAATTGGCGGTTCTGAGCCCGAATCTCCACCTCAAGGCTGAATTCACAGTTGGTAAGCTGCTGCATTTCTTTTTACTCCGGAAATTTTATCATGTAAAATTCTGCTATCACACTTTGGGAGGACTTCAAGATCATCTTTTGAGATGTTTGTAGATAAAAAAGCACTTGTGTAGGTTCTTTTGCTCTCTCTAATTTCCCCTCAATTACCATCACGAATCCCTTCTTGTAGACAACCTGGTTTCAAGTGTAGAAGAGCGTAGAAATGGCTCCATCATCTACTTAGTTTTGAACTGTATGCCATTGGCCCTCAGGATGTTGTTTTTCGTTCCCCTACATACAAGCTCAAGATGCTTTACGTTTCGTGTTACACTTGAATGTCTTATTTCAACCAATATCAGTTGCATCTCACCATGTTTATGTCTTTGCAGGGAGATGATCACATAATCCAAGGCCACATATAACCTCATAATTTGTGAATAGTGAAGGGGAGTGTACACTACTGGTAATGCTGTTAGGCTGTTCTAGGCACTTGGTGACTTTTTTGTTAGTGACTTTTGCTGGTTACTATAGATATTGTTTGTGGATATAATAGTGACTTTAAAGTTCTCTGTTTAAATAGATGTTTACTGATCAAATATGTGTACCTTGAGCTTCTTTTTTGTTGTTGTTGGTGATTTGCATGTACATATAGTGGAATGTTATTGCTATGAATTTATTAGGAATTCTTAGAACCTCTAAAATTTCTAGCTAGCTCCCAATAAAGTTTGTAACATTCAAATGCTCAACTATCATTTCTACTCATATTTGTTTGGGTGAAATTGTATTCTCTCAAGTGCTGGGATCATTGTTTTCCCATTATAAAAAGGAACCATCTCGATTATCATATTATTTTGGTGTTTATGAATGTTTTATGTAAAATTTATAACAATAATAACATTATCTAGTGTGATTTCACTAGAAAAGTTTATAAAGATTGCGTTTGCGACATTCAAATTTCAATTTATATAGAAATAAGTTAGACTGTTTCTGATAGACTTTCGACAATGAAAAAAAATCCAAATCAAACTGTACAAGTAACCAAATAGGGCAATTTGTGTAATTTTGGCTTATAAATGGGATAAAAAAAAATCTCAAGGTCCGGGTACCCAACCATGGTGACCCGGCGTCGGATATTCAATAAATACCTGATCGCCGGCGTCATTGCCGGCGCCGGAATTACTTTCCAAACCCTAACTCCTAACTCATTCCTTTCTTCCACTGATTCCCCTTTCATCAACGGGGTCGTTCGGTCCTCCCGAGCTCTCTTTACCATAACTTCCACTGTCATCGACTACAAGTTCGCACTGTACGGACTCAATCCTCACTCCGAAGACTATCGCCTTACTCTCTCCGAACTGCATCTACGATCAGCGAAAAGAATTCTAACGATGTGTGAAGCAAATAAAGGTATTTACATCAAGGCAGGTCAGTTTGTTGCTGCCATTAGGCAAGTACCAAAAGAATACTCAACAACACTTTCTTCATTACAGGATCATGCTATTCCTTTTCAGTTTGAATCGATTAAACAAGTGTTAGTTAGTAATTTAGGTTTAAATTGTTTATCGGAGGTTTTTTTCTCCTTTGATGAGGTTCCGGTTGCTGCTGCATCTATTGCTCAAGTACACCATGCTGTTTTAGTAAAAGACCGTCAGGAAGTGGCGGTGAAGGTGCAGTATCCTGGACTGGAGTATCAAATGAAATTTGACCTTGTAACTATGTCTTTGTTATCGAAATTGGTTGGATGGATCTTCCCTGGATATAGGTTTCAATGGCTTGTAACTGAATTTGAAAAATCTATTGCATCTGAGCTTGATTTTATTGCAGAGGCTAAAAATTTGGAGAGGATTAGGGAAAATTTTAAGGATAATTCTATGGTTAGGGTTCCGAATGTGTTTTGGGGTTTTACGACAAGGCAGGTTATGACGATGGAGTTTTGCAGAGGTCGTAAAGTCGATGACTTGGAGTTTCTGAAGGAAAGAGGAATTAGCGAAGTCAAGGTTGCAAAAACATTGGCAGAAGTATTTGCAGAAATGATTTTTGTTCATGGTTTTCTTCATGGGGATTTACATCCTGGTAATATATTGGTTTCTCCTGAAGGGAAGAATGGATTTTCGTTAGTGTTGTTGGATTTCGGGATTTGTAAACAGTTGAATGAGGATTTCAGATTGAAGTATTGCGAGCTTTGGGAGGCTTTGGTAGTTAAGGACCCAGCCAAAATCCAGGAGATAGGAGAATATTTTGGTGTTGGGAAGTACTCGAGATACTTCCCTGTCATATTCACAGGAAGAACAATTGACAGCAAGTCCGCACTGGGCGAAGGAATGTCTGTTGAAGAAAAGAAGAACCTGAAGCAGGAACTGAAGTCACTTAAAATGGAGGATATATCTTCCTTCATGGAATCTCTGCCTACCGATTTTCTCACAGTATTGCGGACTGATGGGCTCCTAAGATCTCTGACGAGCAAGTTGGGTGCTCCCTTGAGAGTCAGGTTACTAGCATATGCTGAGTATGCACTTTATGGACTCTCGTTGAAGGCCGACTCTAAATCTGATTCTGCCATAGAAGTCGTGCTCTTTAGATTCAAGATTGGCCTCCGATACATCCAACTAAGACTCCTGTTTGGGATATTGGGGCTTGTTTCATGGCTAGCAAACATCAAACACACGTCAACTAGGAGGTTTAAAGATTTTCTTGCCTCAGCTGGTTTGTGGTAAGGAACTTGTACTGTCCTTTATTGACCGCATAATTAAGTCTGGCCAGTTGTAATAGTGAAGAAATTGTCTCATTTACATTCACTCACCTCATAAGAAGCTTTCCTAAACAAATGTCTCTAGGTGGTATACTAAAACTCTAGAGAGGAAAGTCTGTTTCTACTTTCTACTAACTCCATCCGATCATCTTTGAAGTGTTGTGTCATGCCTCATGTTTAGTCTAAAACTAGACGAAAACCTGTAAAGTCAATTGCAATTTTATAGTAATTTTTTCTCGTCCAAAAGCTATTGGATCTTTTCTCTTAAATGGCATCACATTCTATTATTATCTGCCAGCACAAGTTGGGATTGCCCTACATAAAAAAAATTGATTTCCTTCGAGCATTTGTTAATGTTGTATCTTGTTGTTAGCGCAACTATATCGACATGATATTTACCAATTACAACAAGTACTTTTCAACAATATTTTGCCAATCTTTCACATTAGGAACTTGTGACCTTTTGTCTTATCTGCATTCAGTAGAACACAACTAGATTTCCGACTCTCACCACCATATGCTGTTTGTAGAATTTAAATTTGCTGTGCTCGAGAATATATATTGGTCATTAAGCTCAAAATGGGGCTTGGTTTGATGACAATACCCAAGAATTATACCGAGGTAAATAGGTAGAAAAGTGCTTATAAAGCACCATTTGATAGCTTATTATCGGAGTTATGAGGTTGTTGCTTTAACATATACTGCTAGAGACTGCTGTAGTGTAAACAGTTTTCACGAAAACTGATGGATGATAAATAAGGCCATGGAAAAGCAATTTAGAAGCGTGCTTTGTCACAATCAGTAATCGCAGAAAGAGCAAGAACTACAGTGACTAAGTTCCAGGTATTCTTCTCTAGCTTCTTCAATGATGTCATTTAATCCTGGATCATCGGCAGAAATGAAAGTCAATGGCTTTTTACGCTCAGTTATCTGTTCGATTAACAAGGCTCTAGCTTGGGAAGATGAGAAACAGAAGTTTTTCTGTACGATGGAGGTGCGTTCGTTTGCAGCTGTGCTGCCATAGGAATGGGATGAATCACAGTTACCATCTTCTGGGTCACAATGAGTGATGAAAAACGACCCATGAAAACCAAGAAAGTGTGGACGCGATCATCCCAACTGTGTTTGTCCTTGTAAAACATGTCCAGGTAACTATTAAAACTCATTGAAGGTTGATGTACCTCCTATTTTCATCTTATTATAATTGGAAGAGAGGACCGTGCTTCTTAACGATTCGTCTAGTCCTGTACATGTATAGCTATTTCGATGTAATTATGATGGTCTCTTCTTTCTCAACATGTATATTAGTTCTAATGACAATGATACAATTGAAGACATCTAATTTTGATTTCTTAGAGAAGGATACTTTGTACTTTGTGACTATGATTTAGTTTGTCATATGCACATATAGCAATGAACTTTTATCACGCCTGATGCAGTTCTTTAAACTGAGAAATAACAGAAATACTTTGAAAAATTAAGTCTATGAGAATTGTTTAAAGAGAGAAGCATTGAAAACACGCTTAAAAACTCAGCGTGAATCATTAGTTTTAGTCCCCGAGCTATTGACGACCTTAAAAGCACACCCCTCTACTTGACTAACTGAACCTAACTACACCCCTGATCTTGCAACATGATTGAAATAAACCACTAAATCCTCACCAAGTCAACACTTCTCTTGATTTTTTTTTATATAAAAACCCCTTGCTCCTACAAGAGTTTGAGACCACTTGATACGTCATGTGATAGAACGGGGTGTATCTTAGTTTAGTTTGTCAAGTTAAGAATTGTTTTAAGACTATCAATAATTCGAGAGGACCAAACTAATAATTTCCACCAAGTTCGAGAATCTTTTCAATACAGAAATCAATCATAGCTATGTAGATTTCACCTTATTACAAGACAAAAGGACATGTCATTTGACAAAAATTTTGGATGTGAGGAAAGAAAAGTATGTGGTGCAGATTGCAGAAGTACTATTTTGACCACTCATCATAGTTTTGGAAGCTAGTAATAATTGATCTTCTAGAATTTTTTTTTCATTTTTGGTTGCTCTTTTCAAGGGTTTTGTTTACTTTATATTTTTGTCTGTATTTTAAATGATCTTGTAATGCTCCAGGACTACATAATATCAGAAAACACTCAGTCTGTCTAAAGGAGTACATTTTTTTTGGCGC